AAAACATTTTGGGATTATTTCAACAATGGACTAATGAAACAAATACCAAAAGATAGTTTTATGGGTGGAATCTTCCTTTAATATAACAGATCATGAATTACCTTAATATAAAATGTGTATATGAAATAATCTTTAAGATATTAATAATTAATTAATCACACAAGCCCATAGGAGAGGTCTGGCATATGGGGATGCTGATGAAATCACATATATTATTTGATCAAAGTGTTTTTTTTATTATTAAATGAAGTTGTTTTGATTAAGTCCAAAATATATCTGATTCCTCTACAAAATCAGTATGACTCATGGAGCTACACTCTCTGTAGTGCTGTTTAATATTCCACTAGAATTCAGAGTAATGTTTTCCGCCCATCATATAAAACCAACCAGGCCCTCTTCAGGATGCAACTGTTGACAGGTAAGGATGGCTATATAGCGTAGCCTAATTATCTCAGATCTGCATCCTTGAGTTTCCTTGAAGATTACAGTATGTGACATGTTAGTGATCTTACAGAAGGATACAGAAAGGAATCTTGGAGAAAGCATGCAGGGTTTTTTCTAAAGACCTAACCTCTCTATTCTCCTCTATTCAATAGATTTACTACAAGGGTGTTGTCTCACCGATTCTTCTTAGTCTCTATTCTGTGTCCAACTGTGTCACTGCTGAAAATCAGCCCAAAACCCATGTGTCATTGTATCAACTGATTTCCCTTGGTTCTGTGGTATAGTCTACTACAGTTTAGTGAGAGGGTGGTTGGATGGATGGGTCAGGTTTAGGATGTGGGGTCATGGTGATGGTGGCTCATTCAGGGCAACACCAGGGGTGTGAAATCAGCTTTATGACACAGACAACAAAAGCCCTGGTGAGTGACTAGCTTTAAAGATGGTGCAGATGGCCAAAGCAGCTGGGACCATTACAGGCTGATCTGGTTTAGAATGGCCCTTCAGGCTGGGCAGTTATGACATTATGAGGTTCTGAATACTCCCTCAGGAATCGATGGATTTCACACTAAAGACAGACAGCAATCTCTCTGTAAGCTGTTCTTGTCTTGTTGCTTCCAAGTCCCTCTCATGCTCATGTGTATGATTTTCACTAGGCCTACTTCTTCAATTCTGTGAGTGTGTGTCTACTTATGTCTTCTGTGTATAATCTCACAACAAGCAAAAACTCCAACTGGCCATACAGTTTTCTAATTCAGGAGATGCATCCCAACCTCTTTTGTCTGGACAGTGGGCAGTGCTAGAGGGTTTTCAAAACAAACCACTCCATTCACAAGCATTCTCAACCATCACATGCAGAAGCTTGAGATCAAGAAGAAGAAACCATAAAACCATATTTTCATCCACTCATTCACTGACTACATGAATCAAGTGTTCACGTTGGAGGTGCCAAAGGAGAGAGTGTCAACATTTCAGTCAGGACCTCTCTCATTAATGCCAGAGAGAGAGGTATGAAAGCCTGTTTGATGGTGTGGTGTGCTACTCCACCCAGCCTCATAGACTAGATGTAACATATTAAATGTAAATCCAAAACACTGAAACTAGTAGGATATCTTACGTTTGGTATGGTTACATAAGACAGAAGGTTACTTAAGGTGGAAATGAAAGTAGGGGAGATTGGTTGGTGTGGATGGGCGGGCGTCTAACGCGAGTGTCTAGCAACCCGAAGGTTGCGTGTTTGAATCTCATCCCGGACAACTTTTGCATTTTAGCAAATTAGCAACTTTACAACTACTTACTACTTTTTAGCTACTTAGCAACTACTTAGCATGTTAGCTAACCCTTACTCTAACACTAACCCTAACCTTAACCCTATAACCTAACTCCTAACCTTAACCCTAATCCCTAGCCCTAACCCCTATCTTAGCTAACCATAGCCACCTAGCTAACATTAGCGTTAGCTACCTAGCTAACGTTAGCCACAAACAATTGGAATTTGTAACATATCATACATTTGGCTAATTCTTACATATTGTACAAATTGCAATTCGTAACATACGATACGAATTGAAATTCGTAGCATATCATATAAAATGGATGATGGGCGGCAGGTAGCTTAGTGGTTAAGAGCGTTGTGCCAGTAACCGAAAGGTCGCTGGTTCTAATCCCGAGCCGACTAGGTGAAAAATCTGTCGATGTGCCCTTGAGCAAGGCACTTAACCCTAATTGCTCCTGTAAGTCGCTCTGGATAAGAGCGTCTGCTAAAAGACTAAAATGTCAAATGTAATGATGGACATCCACAAATGAAAACATACAAAACGTATCATATCATACTAATTGCAGTGTACTGGATTTACATTTACTATGTTACATCTATCCCTGAGTCCAGGTTGTGCCTTGGGAACCCGGGGAGAGCTTGAGATCAGGGAGAGATCCATTTGGATCCAGGTGTATTTAAATGATGCTCAGCAGCACAGAGCAGAAGCTCAGCGCTCCACGGTGAGAGACAGGGGACGCTGGGCACGACCACGGGAGCATTGTGCGCTTCACAGTTCAAAGTGAGAAGAGAGAGAGTCGTTAGCACTTCAAAGACGGTCATCTGGGATCTGTGAGAGAAACGAGTGAGAAGGAGGGGGGTTGGAGGGGAAGGGGGGGGGGGGGGCAGTGGGACAGGAAATGCGAAGCAATGTAATTAACATCCTCTGTAGCGATGATGAAACACACCGCCCCGCCTGTCTGAATGAGACCCAGCACTGCTGCCTCAATATAGATCTACAAGTTTATCTGCTGGGTCCTTATTTGCTTGGCTTTATCCATAGCGTCATGTGTGAATCAAACATCTTTATAGCCTATTGTACAATAACCTCTTAACATAATTTACAAAATTTTCTATTGGATTTAATTTCCATATTCCAATTATGTGAAAAATCCCTGACAAACGTAGAAGAAATCTGGCAAAAGTATTTCAATTATCCAGTCCATTGTTGTGTGATACAGGTTTCTTCCATTGTCTTCCATTGATGGTGTCACTCCTACGCCACGCTCGTCCCTCAATCAGTGCAGGCGGAATCGACGCGCTATCTGACGTAAGATGTTTCCTCTAGCTACCTTTTATATTATAAAAATCTTTACGATCAAAACAATCATGTTTCTAATGGCAGTTATGGGCTTATAAGATATATAACACATAATATCATGGCCTCTTAACTGACCCCCATTACTGTGTCTTGAACAGCTAATAATGGCTCTCTAGGTTTATTGGCACAAGGAGAGCCTGTCCCTCACATCTGTTATGACCATCTTGTCAAATCACAGTCCTTGGTGTAGAAATAGATGTAGGCCTATGTGGGGATGTCTTGGAGATGTTGGGACTGACAGAAGAAGCAAACCAGATCTACCTAATATATTCATTACAATGAAATGTCCATTGTCCAGTCAATTTCGGAGAATACACCTTGAAACGGAAATGTGGGGAAAAGAGATATGGAAGAGTAAATAGACAAATAACTACACAATGGTTATTGGCTCCTGAGTGAAATATGGTATCATAGTTAACTAGTAAAGAAATACAATTTATAAAAATGCCAGAAAATAGGCACAATCAAAAGAAGATAAAGTCCATTGTAAATGTAAAGCACGTTGCTATGCAAATGTCACTTGACACCTCTTGCAGGGCCCTTTGAAGAAGCAAAATGGTCACCACGTAGAAACTTGCATCTGCATCTGCGATAAGATTTCATATTGGCCTTCACTTGAACCAGGGGGAGGGAAATCGTCAGGGGGAGGGAAAACTTCAGTTTGCTTGACTTTCAGATGCTATTGGGGCTCTTTGATCCTGGATTATTATACAGAATTAAGAAGGAAACCAAAAAAACGCCAACCACCAGCTCAGCTCACTTCCAAACACTTGCAATGAAGTAGCAGCCTAGCAGGCCTACCCCACTGGGCACAGACATCAGTTCAATGTCTAGTTTTGATTAACATTTGGTTGTCAACTAACGTGAATTCAAGGTGAACTCAACAACAAAAAGTTCACCCTGTCATTGGATTTAGGTTAAAAGTTCAAAATCCCCTTACATCGATGACTTTTAGCAAATCCAATCAGATTTCCACCTTGATTTAACATCATCACATTGATTTTTTGTTGTTGTTGTTGAAATTGTGTGAAAACAATGTTGATTAAACTAGTTTATGGTAGTAGGGCGAAGGTATTAGCCTTATTATACAAATATAAATTGTGGATAGTTTGGCCATTAATTTAAATTAGCCTAAAACCCGTTTAAACCATAAATATCGTAAATGTCTCTGTCTTCAATCGTTATATTATCACCTATGTAGCCTACATTGTTTTAGCAATGTGCAAATAGTTGTAGTACGAATAGTGGGGGAGATAAATCATTTATCTCTCTCTCTCTCTCTCTCTCTCTCTCTCCTCTCTCTCTCTCTCTCTCTCTCTCTCTCTCTCCTCTCCCTCTCCCCCCCCCTCCTCTCTCTCTCTCTCGTCTCTCTCTCTCTCCCTCTCCCCCCCCCCCCCCCCCCACCCCCCCTCTTCTCTCTCTCTCTCTCTCTCTCTCTCTCTCTCTCTCCTCTCTCTCTCTCTCTCTCTCTCTCTCTCTGACACACACGCACGCACACACAGTTCTTACTTTTTCTGTAGGCCTATTCGTGAAAGGAATCCCGCAGAGGACATCTCTCCATAACAAGATGCTGCCAAGAATGTGTCGATTGGTCTCGTCGCACTTCAAAGGATATAGCGTTCGAGGCAATCAGTGAAGACAAGGTTGCTGAAAGTTTGTCACCTAAAATTACTGGGAGAGATAGCTTGCAGAAGGGATACTGCCGGAGCCCGGATTTTGGAATTGTTTCTACAATTTACTTTTATTCTATGGTTTTTTATTTCTTCACGACAATTTACACAACACATTGTGTGTTTTTTTTCCATTTTTTTTCAGTAAAGGAGTCTGACTTTGGATGAGAATTGAAACACTGCAAATCTCGTTTTCTAGATAAGATTTTGTTTCCGTGCGCTGCCACCATTCAAAAAGCTACATTGGCCGCAGATGCGCGCAGTGGAGACACAAAAACTGATGGCCTCTTTGCCGGGGACCGATCACTTTCTACAACCTTTCTTACAGGTGAGGAGGAAAATGTGTTTGAAATGTTTCTAGAGGAAATTTGGTATGGGAGAGACAATTCAGTGTGACTTTAGAGTACATTTAGAAAGTGCCAAGCACAATTATTGATTCATTTTCTCCCAGTATCTTTTTAGGAATTGGTCTGGTTTAATAGTTTTTAACAGTATTTTACCATTACTTTAGTTTAGTTCATTAAATACATAGAAAAATTATAACATATATTTTAGAAATAGAGATGTTGTGATCCACAGTAAAAGGTCACCACTGTTCTATCGTTGCTCTGTGATCACTATAAGATATTGATTTTGTATCTTGTTTTGTACTCAAGAGTATCCAATTCAATAGTGTACATCATGTCTAACATCCATTCTCTCTATACCCCACAGGACCGCATAGCCAGCTCCTCTCCTGAGAACGAGCCCCATCCCCTCTCCTCCTTCATGGCCAGAACCTGTGGCCAAGCCCGTCTGGGAGGCAGTGGAGTGGGGCAGGAGCGGCAACACCCTCCTTATGAGGGGAACATGAGCTCCATGACTGGGATGCTCCAGCTGTGGGGCGGTGAAGTGGCCCAGAGCTCCAGTCTAGGGGTCCAACAGGTGGAAACTCTGACAGTGCCAAAATTATATTTTCCTGGCCACATCCAGAGTGGACTGGGCCCTCACCCCCATCCCCATCCCCACCACCACCACCTCCATGAGCTGCCTCTCACCCCTCCGGCTGAGCCCTCCTCCACCCCGGCTGCCTACGCCTTTGAGCTCTCCCCAGTGAAGATGCTCGCTCCTCAGGTCCAGGGTAGCTCTCATGACCCATACTTCCACCACCAGCACAATGGCATTGGGCAGAACTTTCCTAACTTCCTCCAAGTTTCCACAACGAGACACCCCCACCACCCTGGTGGGTATACAGAGGAAATTCAGCAGTGGTGGAGCCTGCCCCAGAACACCAGCAGCCCCCATGGCCATCACCAACCTCACAGCCACCCCCACCATCACCACCCTCACCCCTTTGCCCTGGGCAGACAGCTGGTGTTGGGGCACCAGCCTCAGATCGCGGCCCTCCTCCAGGGCTCATCCAAGGGCCTGCTGGGCTCCACACGCCGCTGCAGGCGCTGCAAGTGCCCCAACTGCCAGGCCTCCTCTGGGGGCACAGGGGCTCCAGCCAACCCTGAGGAACCAGGCCGGAGGAGGCTCCACATCTGCCACCTGCCCGAGTGTGGCAAGGTGTATAAGAAGACGTCCCATCTGAAGGCCCACCTACGCTGGCATGCCGGGGAGCGGCCCTTCCTCTGCAGCTGGCTCTTCTGCGGGAAGAACTTCACACGCTCGGACGAGCTGCAGAGGCACCTGCGCACACACACGGGGGAGAAGCGCTTCGGCTGTCAGGCATGTGGGAAGAGGTTCATGCGGAGCGACCATCTAGCAAAACACGAGAAGACCCACCAGGGTAAGAGGGGACAGCCAGAGTCAAGGGACAGTCAGGGCCCCCAGCAGGAGGCTCCACGGCAACCGGGTGGCGCCAGAGGACCAGACAGGAACATCAAGAAGGAGTAGAGAAAAGACCAAGAGAGGTAAGCCAAGTGACTCACAGTCAGTGTGGTGTGTTCTGAGACCCCCAGCTCGTGTCTCTGTATGTGTGGAGTCTAGGTGATGAGACCCTCAGAAAGAGCAGAAAGACAGGAGGGCCAGCGTGGAGACTGAGAGTCAAGGGCAGACCACCGATTCAATGGCCTTTCTCTGGAAAAAATAAACCATTCTTGCAAACACACAAACTTTTACACTGTCAAACCATTGTCTTGACAACATGTTTGTCATGGTCATTGTAGCCAGCATTGTCCACTGGGCCACCATCAGGAGGCCTGTGATCTTCAGAGGCTGTTCTGTTCAGCATGCCTGCCTGCCTGTGTGGAGACTCGTAATAAAAGCAGGAGGGCTGAGGTGGTTGAATAGTTCTTTCTCATGGACCCCTAATGGAGATAACTGGTCTCAGAGAATGACCAAAGACGTCAGAGAGGAAGTCAGAGTACAAAGAATAATGGAAATAATGCTGTTTACTATTTTCATTCAGTCTGCCAGCTGAGTATTTGCAGTGTTACGGTTTTCAATAATAAACACTAACTACACTACAATGGTCTTTTGACTTTATTGTGTTTATATTTTAGACAGTTTGTGGTATGTGTATCTGTTGCCGGGTATATCATTTTTCATGTATTTTAAATTGTCAAAGAAAATTAAAAGAAAAGAAAATGCACAATAATATTTTGTGCTATTAATTAAGCCTTCTATTTTTGATAAGTTAAAAGTATTGGCTTATTGGCGTAATTTTACATTTGTGTTGTAATTATAAAGTGTCTTATAAATTAATTTGATATGCATAGCATATGCATAGGATAGCTGACATTGCAAATTAATTTGGTTGCCAGAAAGTTAAACTAATAGTGTGATTCGATTGACATTGATCTACATTACATGAGCATAACATCTCAAATAAACAAAACTAAGTTAGAGTAAAAAAAACAGTTTGAGCTTGATTTCATTCAAATAAAACAAAAAAAGATAACACTTTATCAATAAAGATAGATCAAATTATTGTTTTGCGATGTTGTCAACTGTTGTCAGTTGCTATTTAGCCAGTTAATAATCTCCCCTCTATGGAGAGGTATAGCAACAGAGAGCTCTAACCAGGAAGGAATCTCCCTTGTTTATTGGTCCCCAGCTGATACCAGTGCCCTTTGATTTAGCGGTTGTGGAAATGTATGATCCCACCCTTCCCCCGTCCGCGTTTTTCCAATTCTTCCCAAATCTGACATACATTGCCAGAAACCTCAGCATTCCACCTGAAAAGCTATATTTGAACATCTTCTATCCTCAGGTAGCCATAGGCAATCTACCACCAAGTGCCCTATATTGAGCACATAAAGTTGTCCCTCAACTCACCATTTGATGGCGCTAAATACCTACAGTATTTTTCCAGTACACTCCCCCCAAAGACTGTCAGGTAGGCAAAATGAACTGCATGGATGCCAAGCAAATCACCAATTGATGTGTGAAATGTTGTTTCATTTGATGCAAAATACATCAAATTACTCTTGCTTATTGGTGCTATTGTTCACTTTTGTATTGTTTTTGTGGGATTGTTGAGAGTGGCAGTATTTATTTCACAAAGGCAACAGTTAGTGTGTATGCTAAATGAAGGAAATGGGCAAGGACATTCTGGGTTTTTCAGGATAATGGGTTTTTCAGGATAAGAACTCTATCAGTTCCTTTTTGGCAGTCTTATAACATGACCACGACCAAGATCAGAATAATGGTGGGGGGACAAACAGCAACGCAGTGTTGATTTATTTATTTATTGATATGGTCCCACAGAATATTATTTACATTCATGATGACATTGACAGATGAACACCCCCTTGATCTATGTTCCCTTTTCCTCTCTCCTACAGTTTTGAGTGGGCTTTGTGTGAGTTTCCGTGTGTTTTCTTCAGATAACGTTGGAACAATGGCAGGGTTAAAATAGCCGCTAAAATGAAGGAAAACATATCCATTATTACTGTGCTGCTCGGTATGCATAGAGTAGACAAACATGACTGCAGCTGCTCAAGTCCTAGACAGATTCAGTCCCACAATCAAGCTCAAAATTATATCAGGACTACAATGTCATTATGTCAGCACTCTTGACCCAAGGGCTGCTTTATGAAACAGTGTTGAGGATGAATTCAGGATAGGAGCATACTGGTAAGCTATATAAAAAGAGAGACAGAGAATAGACATGTCATTATCTCCCACTAGTCTTTGCGTCCCTTCTTGTACAAAGTGATAGAAGCTGTCATACGTAGCAGTAGCATAATGGTAATATGGTCCGCCTGTTTAAGATAAAGCAACAGTAAAGAGTTGGCGACTTAAGAAGCGGTCCCAAATGTCTATAAGTTCTTTATGAAACCAAATAGTGTTAAGAATGTCACCATATGAAGTTCAATCATGTATAAACTCTTGACAAACTTAGTGGTACTGTACTGTAGAAACGATTTGCAGTGTGAACAGCTACCATCGCATCACAGATGCATTCTACCAGTCACATATACATACCAACATGCATACACAAACACACTGTCAACATCAGATACCATTGGTTACTTTTCCCTTTCCTCTTCACAGAAACACCATAGAGGGCTGCACTTCTGCTTCACTTCTCACATCCCAATAGTAAGTAAAGGTTTCAAAATAGTATAAAATATAATATGATGACAAAAATACCCACAAAATAATCCTTATTACAAGCTAGAGATACCATAGTAATAGTAATATAGCAATATTAGGGTAATCACAAGGGTGGTGATATTGGAGTTGTCTGAACTGACCCCGCCCCAGGCCCCCTGGCTGTCCTCAGTGGAGTAGAGCCAGGCTAGCCAGGGGTCTCTCAGCATGCCCCTCATTCACTCCAGGGTGAAGTCCCCTCTAGGCACATATCTAGGATCAGCTTCCCCATCCCCCAAACCTAACCTCAGCCATTACTGGGGAAAATGCAAAACTGAACTAAGATCAGCATCTAGGGGCAGATTCACCATACTCTCCCTCGTTCAGTCTGTGAGGTCAAAGGTCATCACACATCATCAGCACTCATGCTCATGCAGAGAGAGATCTGTCAGCTGATCAAGGTTGCCTGAGTGATGCAGTGCGTAAGCCCCTCTCTCCTCCGGCATGGCTCCACGGTAACTGTCAGTACCACCCTGAGAAGACAGGATAAGACAGAGGCAGCATGTTCAGTTACATACACATAGTGAAGTCATACTAGGACCAAGAGGCTTAATATGTCAATTACTTTTATATCAAAGCCTTTAAAACCCTTTCCTGCAGTCAAATGACCTAGTGGCCTCATGGGTGGAATGTTATTAATATTTTTCATGATTTCATAATTAATAAATATATTATTGTTTTTTACGGCAAAACTCTTCTGTGATGTATATAAAGTGTAATATTGGGATGCAAACTCAAAATTGAATACATGTCAACTCTATATCTGACATGGTACAGGTGTCTTGTTTTTTTTAAAGCCCATAACCATGTGTGTGAGGTGTATACTTTTGTTTCAGAGTAGATTTAAGACTACCAACAAACACTCTGTGTGACCCTGATTTAGCCCACTGCAGTAAAATGTTATTAAGACCCTACCTAGCCTTGCAGAGAGGAAAGAGGAAAGACAAAGGTGGTGGTATGTTGAGTGGTTCTAAAGCAAGATCCTGTCCTTACATCAACCCTGGGTAGAGACAGGAAGAGAGATTGACCTTACTGCACTCTAGCAGTACAAGGTTACATTCTGAACTCACTCAGCCTTCTGCCTAAATCAACCTATTGCAGGAAATACGAGTATGATACGGAATGACATCAGTCCTCTCACCTCCTCTATATCAATTGTAGGTTTCCAAATACACCAGAACAGTTTCAAATACCCCCCCTCAACCCACTGATAGGGTAACATTACACTTTTTTTCAAAGGCCCAAAAGGTTCTCTATCCTCTATCTACCAGAGAGCGAGAGGAGGAACTACAACAAAGTGTGGAAACAGGCGTGATAAGCCTCTCTGATAGGATTCCTGTAATCAAACCCATTTCCTCCCCATGGGGAGAGTCTGGCTAAATAAAATAAACTACCAGCCAGGGCACCGGGCTAGTTATCCCCAGGAACTGAGACATATGTTCCCAAGTATTCCCACAAATAAAAAATGAGATATGTGATCATATTGATATTTTCCAATACAATCTCTTTTTGGCCTTAGGGAAGGGAAAGGGGGATACCTAGTCAGTTGCACAACCAAAATGTTTCTTCCGCATTTAACCCAACCCCTCTGAGTCAGAGAGGCGCGGGGGGCTCCCTTAATCGACGTCATCAGCGCCCAGTTGTTGTTGGGGCTTAACTGCCTCGCTCAAGGGCAGAACAGCAGATTATTCCACCTTGGCAGTCGGGGATTCGAACCAGCGACCTTTCGGTTTATGGCCCAACGTTCTTAACCACTAGCTACCTGTCGCCTTAGTTGTGATCAATTTGCAGTGTACAAATTATTATAACTATGTTCCGGCCCCTCGACCATCTGCTCTGACAAAAATCGACCCGCGGCTGAATCTAGTTGCCTACCCCTGCTTTATGGCTTCTATAGTTTTTATAGGAACTGACCACAGATCGGTGTGACAGCCTGTTAGGGTGCTGTTAGTATTGTAACCTCGGCTGGGAACAACAACAGGATATCTCCCATTAGGAAAGAGGAGAGGGCTGGCCCAGTCATTTCCCTCTAGCACTGACAACCACGACAACCCCAGGCCAATGGCCAGGGGGATTATATGATAAAACAGTAAAGAGCTATTTATAAACTAAACCATTTGCTGATCTGTTTGTGATCTGAAGTGATGAGAGAGTTTATGGGAGCCTTGGGAGGTTAATGACAGAGATCCTGCTCATGGTGGTGAGTCCTAAATTAAATAACTCAGACTTTCCTGTACTGTAAATCAATTATGTTTCTGTAGAAATGTGTGGTCAATCTCAAAATAGCACTTGGTCAATGGGGATAGCAGTTGTGACTTATCAGAACCTGCTGAGATACTATATCCGTGCTGTACTGAGAGTGTTTGAGTCAGTGGGTTCTTGTATTTCCCTGCAGTGTGGTTGAGTACCTGCAAGCTGTGCTGAGTAGGGAGGCACAGGCCGTTGCTGAGTTGCTGAGGACTGGTCAGAGGGAGGTGGGAGGGACGGGGTGTCGCAGGGCTAAGATACAGCGGGGACTGAATGAGAGAAAATATAAAAGAGGGGTGAATAACAAAGAGAGAGAGAGAGAGAGAGATGAACCCGGAGAAGAGTCCCCTAAGCAAGCTGGTCCCGGGGCTCTGTTCACAAACACAAACAGACCCCACAGAGCCCCAGGACAGCAACACAATTAGACCCAACCAAATCATGAGAAAACAAAAAGATAATTACATGACACATTGGAAAGACTAGAATTCTATTTGGCCCTAAACAGAAAGTACACAGTGGCAGAATACCTGACCACTGTGACTGACCCAAAATTAAGGAAAGCTTTGACTATGTACAGACTCAGTGAGCATAGCCTTGCTATTGAGAAAGGTCGCTGTAGGCAGACCTGGCTCTCAAGAGAAGACAGGCTATGTGCAAAATGCCCACAAAATGAGGTGGGAACTGAGATGCACTTCCTAACCTCCTGCTAAATGTATGACCATATTAGAGACACATATTTCCCTCAGATTACACAGACACACAAAAAAATTGAAAACAATTCCAATTTTGATAAACTCCCATATCTATTGGGTGAAATACCATAGTGTGACATCACAGCAGCAAGATTTGTGACCTGTTGCCACAAGAAAAGGGCAACCAGTGAAGAACAAACACCATTGTAAATACAACCCATATTTATGTTTATTTATATTTTTATATTTTTACTTTAACTATTTGCACATCATTACAACACTGTATATAGAAATAATATGACATTTGAAATGTCTTTATATGTTTGGAACTTGTGTGAGTGTAATATTTACTGTTAACCTTATTATTGTTTATTCACTTTGTTATATCCATTTCACTATGCTTTGGCAACTGTTTAACATGTTTCCCATTGCCAATAAAGCACCCTTGATTGAATTGAGAGAGAGAAAGAGCAGAGAGAGAGAGAGCGAGAGAGAGAGAGAGAGATAGAGATAGAGAGAGAGAGGAAGAGCAGAGAGAGAGAGAGGAGAGATCGCGAGATTAGACTCGATCTGCATCGAGCGATTAGGCTCAGAGAGAAGATAAGGACTAGAGATAGATCTCGCTGATCCTCTAGGCTCCAGTATATCATGAGGATAGAGAGAGAGCGAGACCCTGTTGGATTTCACTTAATATATTCCATTAGTTGCTGACACTGTTTTATCTTCACTTGCTATGACTATCAGATCAGCCTAGTGAGTTTTTTGTTGCAGTCAGTGTGTTGGCAGTACCTGTGTGTCTGCAGGGGGCTGGCTGGGCAGGTGCAAGGAGGGCAGGGAGGTATTGTAGGAGCGCAGGTAGGGTAGCCGGTGGCGGTCAATGGAGGCAGAGGAGTGGGGTCGCAGGCCAGAGGTCGGTGTCACGGGAGCCTTCATGGCTCCTCTCAGGCTGTTGGACTTACTCTCCCTGCGCTGGTACTCTATAGGAGACTGGAGAGCTACGGACCACAGGAGATGGGGGAAGACAGGAGGATAGTTGGAGGGAGAAGAATTGAGACACAATTATGCAGTTGACACTTAACAAATGGTACTATTAATTTATTTATTGAGCATCTATAAAATGTATCCATAAGGCAGAATCAATCAATTAATATAGTTAATCAATTAATACAATTAATCAATCAATCAATACATTCTAAATACTTTATATAAAACACAGCTTAAAAATATCATGAAAAGTTTTATCATATTTCCCAATGACATATACTTGTGTGTGTAAACGTCAGAGAAACAAATGCAATGTGTCCCAAATGGCACCCTATTCCCATATAGAACACTACTTTTGACCAGAGTCCTATGTGCCCTGGTCAAAAGTAGTGCACTAAATAGGGAACAGGGTGTCAATTGGGACACATGTGTATGTGGCCCGTGGTCCAGCGGTCAGCAGCAGTACCGTTGAGGAAGTTCTTCTGGGTCTCCAGGATCTGGACGACGTCGTTGACCCAGGCTCTCCGAGTCTCCGGGGACGAGGCCTGTAGGACAAACCGTGCCACGCTCCCATCAGCCCCGCGGGACGTCAGGACCAGACGACATGGGTCCTCCTCACAGTGGTCCTCCACACCCAGACAACTGAGCTGCAGCACAGAGAGACAGGGGTCACACACATTTACATTTTCGTCATTTAGCAGATGCTCTTATCCAGAGCGACTTACAGTTAGTTAGTGCATTAATCTTAAGATAGCTAGGTGGGACAACCACATATAACAGGCATAGTAAGTACACTTTTCCTCAATAAAGTAGTTATCAGCAAAGTCACGCACACACACACGTCATTCTCACCTTGATGCTGTTTTTAAAGGTGTACCCTGGCAGAGAGAAGCCCTTCTTCCTATCGATTGGTTCACTGATAATGACCAGCTGTTCAAACAGGAAGACCCGCCTCTCCTTGGCACGGGACAGGAAGCTGCTGTCCTGCTCACTAACTGTAAAGGTGTCCTGCTGGAGCAGCTTCCCCTGGGCTGTGATCTTCCCCTGAGAGACAGAGACAGAGACAGAGACAGAGACAGAGAGACCCATAAGAAAACACAACATTATGTGGAGAACAGAATCTGGTGTCTGGTATCTCACCTCAAAGCCCTGCAGCCTGCCCACGTTCATCATATCATTACATCGCTTGGGCACGAAACACATCACCTCCACCGCTCTCTGTGGGTGGAAGAGGAGGAGGGGTGGCGATAGGGAAAGAGGGACATAAAATAGAGAGAGAGAAAGAGAGATGGTGTGGGATTGGATAGACAATTATGGTTTGTAACTGAAAACAGTCATTTTTTCGCTTTCTCCAATAGAGCAGTGATTGAAAACTGTGTGTGCAGTTTACAGTAATATCACAAGTGAGTATTGGAAATGTTTTGACCATGACGGTTTGTACCATAGTTTTGGGAGAACTCTCACCTCCAGCTCTGAGGTATCCCTTCCTGCTTTGGTGTAGTACTTCAGGAAGTCCTGAGGGAGCCAATCAGAGAACAGTTTACTGAATGGTTTGGAGGGACTCTAAAAGGATTACTGAACAAAATAAGACTGAACTATATCTTGTGTTTCATCATGTAAGAGTGACGTATTATCCACTGTGAGATTAGGGAGATGATGAGAGGACCTGTGACTCTTGGGACAAAAGCTGTCAACATGAATCTCTAATTCACAGCAAAAGCTCCCATAATGCTGCGGGGTGGCCTGCTTATTCTCCAGTGACTCCCAATCTCTTTCTTTATTTCTGCCTTTCTTTCTCACAATCTCTTGCAGTGACAGGTCACTCAATACATCTCTATTACGTGAGGACTCAAATCATCTAGGGCTAGATTACATCATGCTAATTGTAACAGTTATTTTCCATATATTCCAGGTGGATTCCAAACACACACGTTTGGACCAATACACGCACGCACGCATGCGCGTACACACACACACAGACACACACAGACACAGACACAGACACAGACACAGACACAGACACAGACACAGACACAGACACAGACACAGACACAGACACACACACACACACACACACACACACCTTGAGCAGTAGTTGGTATTTCATGATCCTCTGTACTGGTTTGATAAGCAGGTCGTTGAGTTGTAATCTGTGGCCCAGCTGCTGCCTCAGGTCCTACAGAACCAGACAGGTTAGCTCCTCATAGCAACATACACAGAACTAAGGGCCGGTTTTGGTCAGTCAGACATAAACCAAGACAAAGAATGAGCACTTAAGATACACACAATCAGAACCAGAGTTAGATAAATAAGAGGAATTGGGCTAGAACAATGCCTAAATGGGATTAAACGGCTCTTAAACTGTCCATGTAGTTGTACTGTGAAGAGTCACTCACCTCAAAATAGGTCTCGATATACTCTGAGACAATGTGCTCTGACTTGGGCTTGTTCTGACAGTACACTACGTACATGTGGAGACGCCGCTCCTAGAGGTCCAAAAACAAACAGAGATGATGAGAGATCGATACCAGATGGTGGCTCATGTGGTCCGAGTGTGTGTGTGTGTGTGTGTGTGTGGAGAGCTAGTGTGAGCAGGTCTGTGAGTGTGTTGGTGTGTGGGTTAAGTACCTCCCCCAGCATGGCTGCTCTAACCCTCTTATTCCCCTAAATGTGTCTCAGTTCTCCTTCCCCTCCAGGCTCTTTTGAAGTCTGTTAAATAAGAGCAGGAACTTTGCCTTATTAAATGGTTCCGGCGGCTTGGTGGGAATCGTTTAATTCGCTCTTGCTTAATTAAACATGTTGGAGTAATGAAGGAACTGGGACGACAGAGAGAGAGAGAAAGAGAGAGAGAGAAAGGGGAGAGACATAGATACAGTAAATAGAGAGGAAGAGAGAAGAGGGAGAAAGCAAGGCGCTGTGAAACTACACAAAATCAATGAAAGTGCTCCCTCTCTGTTTCTTACTCTCTTTTTCTCTCTCCCCTGCTGCTGTTGTGTGGAAGAGGGCCGGTGTATGTGTCAAATAAAATACAATTGTATTCGTCACATGCTTCGTAAACAACAGGTGTAGACTAACAGTGAAATGCTTACTTACGGGCCCTTCCCAACAATGCAGGGAGAAAGAATATAGAGAAATAAAAGAAAAGTAATAATAGATACACAATGAGTAACGATAACTTGGCTATATACATGGGGTCCCAGTACCGAGTCGATGTGCAGTGGTACGAGGTAATTGAGGTAGATACTGTATGTACATATAACTAAGAATAAAGTGACAAGGCAACGGGATAGATAATGAACAGTAGCAGCAGCGTATTTTTAGGGCCTTCCTCAGACACCGCCTGGTATAGAGGTCCAGGATGGCAGGGAGCTTGGCCCCAGTGATGTACTGGGCCGTATGCACGACCCTCTGTAGCGCCTTGTGGTCGGTTGCCAAGCAGTTGCCATACCAAGTTTTGATGCAGCCAGTCAAGATGCTCTCAATGATGCAGCTATATAACTTTTTGAGGATCTGAGGGTCCATGCCAAATCTTTTCAGCCTCCTGAGGGGGAAGAGTTGAGGGAGAGGTTGTTGTCCTTGCACCACACTGCTAAGTCCCTGACCTCCTCCCTATAGGCTGTCTCATCGTCATCTGTGATCAGGCCTACCACCGTTGTGTTGTCAGCAAAGTCATTTAGACAGGTTACCTTGGCGCTCTTGGGCACAGGGACTATGGTGGTCTGCTTGAAACATGTTGGTATTACAGACTGGTTCAGGGAGAATTTGAAAATGTCAGTGAAGATACTTTCCAGCTGGTCAGCGCATGCTCTGAGTACGCATCCTGGTAATCCGTCTGGCCCTGCAGCCTTGTGAATGTTAACCTGTTTAAAGGTCTTACTCACATCGGCTACAGAGAGCGTGATCACACAGTCGTCCGGAACAGCTGGTGCTCTCATGAATGGTTCAGTGTTGCTGCCTGGAAGCGAGCATAGAAGGCATTTAGCTCGTCTGGTAGGCTCGCGTCACTGGGCAGCTCGCGGCTGGGTTTCCCTTTGTAATTCATGATAGTTTGCAAGCCCTGCCACATCCGACGAGAGTCAAAGCTGGCATAGTAGGATTCGATCTTAGTCCTGTATTGATGCTTTGCCTGTTTGATGGCTCGTCAGTGGTCGTAGCGGGATTCTTATAAGCGTCCGGATTAGAGTCCCGTTCCTTAAAAGCGGCAGCTCTAGCCTTTAGCTCAGTGCGGATATTGCCTGTAATCCATGGCTTCTGGTTAGGATATGTACGTACGGTCACTGTGGGGATGACATCGTCAATGCACTTATTAATGAAGCCGGTGACTGGTGTGGTAAACTCCTCAATGCCATCGGATGAATCCTGGAATATATTCCAGTCTGTGCTAACGAAACAGTCCTGTAGCTTAGCATCCTCTTCATCGGAACACTTCCGTATTGAGCGCATCACTGGTACTTCCGGTTTGAGTTTTTGCTTGTAAGCAGGAATCAGGAGGATAGAGTTATGGTTAGATTTGCCAAATGGAAGGAGGGAGAGCTTTGTATGCATTTCTGTGTGTGGAGTAAATGTGATCTAGAGTTTTTCTGCCTATAGTTGCACGGGTTACATGCTGGTAGATATTAGGTAAGACGGATTTCAGTTTCCCTGCTTTAAAATCACAGGCCACTAGGAGTGCTGCCTCTGGATGAGCATTTTCTTGTTTGCTTATGGCCCTATAAAGCTCGTTGAGTGCGGTCTTAGTACCACAATCGGTTTGTGGTGGTAAATAGACAGCTACGAAAAATATAGATGAAAACTCTCTTGGTAAATAGTATGGTCAACAGCTTATCGATCAGAACCTCTAGACTTCATTCATATTAGAGATTGCACACTAGCTGTTGTTAACAAAGAGACACAAACCTACCCCTTGAGCTTACACAAAGCTGCCGTTCTGTCCTGCTGATCCATAGAAAGAACTGCTAGATGTACTGGATATTATCCATGTCCTTGTTCAGCCACGACTCAGAGAAACATAGGATATTACAGTTGTTCAGCTCCCGTTGATAGGATAGTCTCGAACGGAGCTCGTCCAGTTTGTTCTCCAGTGATTGTACGTATGCCAATAGATCCGAGGGTAGAGGCGGTTTATCTACTTGCCGACTTAGTTTTATCAGGGTGCCCGCACGTCAGCCTCTCTTGCACCGTCTCTTTCTCTTCCGAGTCTCTGGGATTAGGGTCATGTGTGTACGAATGTGTGTACGTCTGCAAAGGGGCGCAACTTTGGTTTTAGAAGTGGGGGGGACATAATATTATTATTATGAATATTATATATACACTACCGTTCAAAAAATCTGGGGTCACTTAGAAATGTCCTTGTTTTCGAAACAAAAGCACATTTTTTGTCCAGTAAAATAACATCAAATTGATCAGAAATACAGTGTAGACATTGTTAATGTTGTAAATGGCTATTGTAGCTGGAAACTGCTGATTTTTTATGGAATACACAGGAGTACAGAGGCCCATTATCAGCAACCATCAGTCTTGTGTTCCAATGGCACGTTGTGTTTGATAATCCAAGTTTATCATTTTAAAAGGCTAATTGATCATTAGAAAACCCTTTTGCAATTATGTTAGCACAGCTGAAATATGTTGTGCTGATTAAAGAAGCAATAAAACTGGCCTTGAGACTAGTTAAGTATCTGGAGCATCAGCAATTATGGGTTCGATTACAGGCTCAAAATGGCCAGAAACTGAGCAAGAGGACAAATACATTAGAGTGTCTAGTTTGAGAAACAGACGCCAGTTGAGGACCTGTGAAGCGTCTGTTTCTCAAACTAGACACTCTAATGTATATGTCCTCTTGCTCAGTTGTGCACCGGGGCCTCCCACTCCCCTTTCTATTCTGGTTAGAGACAGTTTGTGCTGTTCTGTGAAGGGAGTAGTACACAGCGTTGTACGAGATCTTCAGTTTCTTGACAATTTCTCGCATGGAATAGCCTTCATTTCTTAGAATAAGAATAGACTGACGAGTTTCAGAAGAAAGTTATTTGTTTCTGGCCATTTTGAGCCTGTAATCAAACCCACAATAGCTGATTTTTTATTTAACTAGGCAAGTCAGTTAAGAACAAATTCTTATTTACAATGACGGCCTACACCGGCCAAACCCGGACGATGCTGGGCCAATTGTGCGCCACCCTATGGGACTCCCAATCACGGCCGGTTGTGATACAGCCTGGAATCGTACCAGGGGGTCTGTAGTGACGCCTCAAGCACTGAGATGCAGTGCCTTAGACCGCTGCGCCACTCAGGAGCTGATGCTCCAGATACTCAACTAGTCTCAAGAAGGCCAGTTTTATTGCTTCTTTAATCAGCACAACAGTTTCAGCTGTGCTAACATAATTGTAAAAGGGTTTTCTAATGATCAATTAGCCTTTTAAAATGATCAACTTGGATTAGCAAACACAACGTGCCATTGGAACACAGGACTGACGGTTGCTGATAATGGGCCTCTGTATGCCTATGTAGATATTCCATAAAAGATCCAGCTACAATAGCCATTTACAACATTAACAATGTCTACACTGTATTTCTGATCAATTTGATGTTATTTTAATGGACAAAAAAATTGCTTTTCTTTTGAAAACAAGGACAGTTCTAAGTGACCCCAAACTTTTGAACGGTAGTGTATATTTTTTTATCTAGTCAGTTAAACACTCCAAACAGCCTCCTGGCCGCTGGGAGGCGTCCGCGTGGTCATAAAGCACACCGTTGCCTCATTTTGTTTCACATTCCAATGATAAAACTGGAGGGGACAAAAATGCAATCTCAGAATGTCGGGGGGAGGACATGTCCCCCCCGTCTCCAGTGAAAGTTGCGCCCCTGCATGTGCATGGACTGTTTCCTGCCACGGTCCTGCTCTTCCTCTCACTCGGACCAATTTTTACTGCGAGATCTCAGCACACAAAGCACAGCTGTTTGTGTGTGAGTGTGAGTGTGAGTGTGAGTGTGAGCGTGTTTGTGTGTGAGTGTGCACTAAGTACAAACACAGCTGTTTATTTGCTTTCAATGTCATTTATTGAGCTATTCCGGCTCATGTGGCTCCACAGTTTCATCAACAGTCTGGCATTTTGACACTGGCTCTTTGTAACTGGATCTGTGAGCTGTGACCGTAGCATAGTAAAAAGCTCTGTCGATAATTATGCCTTATTATTATTCTACTGGCTTTCCCTCTGTCCGCTCCACCAGGCAGCCTGAACGATCAAGACAAATATGGATGGCAGTAGGCCAGAGACACTCTAAACACAGTCAGTTCTCTGAAGAGACCAGGACTTCTTACCAAACACACTTCATACTAAACGCACAGAAAAACACAAAGAGAAACCCTGGAACTTCATTCCAAATACAAGCAAACAGAATCAAAGACAATGTAAGGAGATAGGTTTTCATGGTGTGTCCGCAAATAAAGAGTCACACTTATGCAAACACACACACACACACACACATTTACACACACACACACACACACACACAAGACACACAGACTCACATGCTTGATGAAGAGTTGGGCCAGTCTGTTGGGCTCAGCCACACACTTCTCCAGCTCCCCCAGGAGATAGCTGTGACACACAGAATAGAGGAGGGGGTCAAAAACCAGTACATACTCTTCTACACATCAGGCAGAGGAGAAGAGACATATAGATACACACACAACTACACTGAGTGTACAAAACATTAAGAACACCTAATATTGAGTTGCACCCCCTTTTGCCCTCAGAACAGCCTCAATTCGTCAGAGCATGGACTCTACAAGGTGACGAAAGCGTTCCACAGGGATGCTGGCCCATGTTGATTCAAATGCTTCCCACAGACTGGATGTCCTTTGGGTGGTAGATCATTCTTGACACACACGAGAAACTGTTGAGCGTGGAAAAACCCAGCAGCGTTACAGTTTTTGACACACACAAACCGGTGCACCTGGCACCTACTACCATACCCTGTTCAAAGGCACTTAAATATTTTGTCTTGCCCATTCACCCTCCGAATGGCACACATACACAATCCATGTCTCAATTGTCTTAAGGCTTAAAATTCCTTCTTTAACCTGTCTCCTCCCTTTCATCTACACTGATTGAAGTGGATTTAACAAGTGACATTAATAAGGGAGCATAGCTTTCACCTGGATTCACCTGGTCAGTCTATGTCATGGAAAGAGCAGGTGTTCCTAATGTTTTGTACATTCAGATGTACACACAGAGAAACAAACACGGGAGAGAGAGAAACAAATGCACACACACAGCTATATGAACACACAGACAGACAGTCACACACACGCACACATACACGCCCAGAACACAGGAAATGTCTGACACAGCCATGTGGATTCAGTGTGACAGAATAAGACTCATATGATAGTGCTAATAAACATGCTCCAGTCTCAGTGTGCACTCCAAAACAGGAAAACGCTTCACATCAAGAGTGCTCAGTATACACGTACACGCGCACACACACACACACACACACACACACACACACACACACACACACACACACACACACACACACACAGGAGCATGAGACCTACTCTTTATGCCAGTCATAGATCTGGTGGATGTTCCCGAACACTATCTTGTCTTTGCCCTTCATGTCCTCTGGGATCCCCTGACTGGCCATGCTGGCCATGTAGCCCTGGGCAGACCAGAGGAGATACACATACACACACATACACACAGATCAGTGTTGAGGGGTCACACACTCCACCACAGGAAGGAAAATACTGCTACTTCACAGGAGAGCATCTGGCTATAGTCATCATTGTGTATATGGTAGAGAAAATAGGGCAGCTGCTATGAAATAACACAAAAAGGAGACTTTAAGTGTACTTTATATCATAACAATAACTGATAAAGGTGTCAGCATCAAACATGTCAGATGATAGATTTGTCACACACCTCCACTATGAATCCCAGGTCGTCTACATACATCTTCTCTGTCTCTATCAGCTCTGTCAGCACATATCTGGGGGAAAGGGGGAGAGAGAGAGACAGACAGACAGAGACAGCGAGAGAGAAACAGTTACAGAAGGGGGCAGCGTGAGAGAGAGAGAGAGAGAGAGAGAGAGAGAGAGAGAGAGAGAGAGAGAGAGAGAGAGAGAGAGAGAGAGAGAGAGAGAGAGAGAGAGAGAGAGAGAGAGAGAGAGAGCGAAAGAGAGAGAGTTGGCTGCAGTAATAGAGGGCTAGAGGGCAGCCATTAAACAGTGTGACTTCTCTCATAACAGTGAGGTATGGGGTTCTCCCAGAGTGGAGCCAGCCCTTCCATCACACCGTTAGCTCTCATCATCATAGGAATTGCGTCCCAAATTGCACCCTATTCCCTATAGTGTGCTACTTTTAACCAGGTCCCATAGGGCTCTGGTCAAAAGTAGTGCACTGTGTAGGGAATAGAGTTCCATTTGGGGCGCTACCAGACACTTAATGGCTGCAGCACCAGGAGCACTCAGATGCTGCATTATACTGTGGTGGAACACTGACAGTCCAGTCCATTAATGGGATAGGGGCTATGAAGACTGGACACAGTGTGGAGGTCACCACCACCTACATGCTCTTCTCTAAGGCACTCCTCCTGTCCTCTTCACTGTCCATTGTGGCTGACCATTGGCTGGTCGAGTCATCAATCAGGGAGGGGCCATCTTCTTCTTCTGAGAGAATGGTGGAAGATTGATGGTTCTGAAAGCAGAGGGTGGAGAGGTGAGCTCATGTATTCACTCCAGGTCCATTGACTACAAGCATATGTCTCCTGTACAAAGAGAGCATAGAACCCAGGCCAGACAGACCAACCGACAGACCAACAGACCGACCGAAAGACAGACCCTTCATTAACTGGGCCTCATCTGCGGCTGGCGGCTGGTTCCTAATCCAGGAAGCAGACGTCCATGGGAACGTGAGCGAGGAAGTAGGGAGAGTGCAGGACAAGGCCAGCATCCTGTTGGCTGTTGCAGGAGGGAGACTCCTCAGGAAAAGGCCATCACCCTGTTGGCTGTTCCAGGAGTGAGACTCCTCACTATTTATCGCCTTGGAAAAATACTGCCTGCTGTGTCACTCCAAACCCCAAGTAATCGGATAGCAATAAGCACTTTTCCATCTCTCTCCCTCTATTTATTTATCTCTCTCCCACTCTTTTTTTTAAAACTGCTAAGGTTCTTTTAGAGTTTTACATGTACTGGTGAGGGAGGTGGTGAAAGAGAAATGATGAATAGAGTCAAATAGTCAGATATGCAGAGAGAGAACGAGAGGTACATTTTGTGTGCCAGACAGGGGTTGCCTAACTCCAGTCCTCGAGTACCCCCAACAGCAGTCCTCGAGTACCCCCAACAGCAGTCCTCGAGTACCCCCAACAGCATGCATTCGGAAAGTATTTAGACCCCTTGACTTTTTCCACATTTTCTTACGTTACAGCCTTATTCAAAAATGTATCAAATTAAATCATCAATCTACACACAATACCCCATAATGACAAAGCAAAAACACATTTACATGAGTATTCAGACCCTTTACTCAGTACTTTGTTGAAGCACCTTTGGCAGCGATTACAGCCTCGAGTCTTCTTGGGTATGACGCTACAAGCTTGGGACACCTGTATTTGGGGAGTTTCTCCCATTCTTCTCTGCAGATCCTCTCAAGCTCTGTCAGGTTGGATGGGGAGCGTCGCTGCACAGCTATGTTCAGGTCACTCCAGAGATCGGGTTCAAGTTGGGCCAATCAAGGGACTCGTCCCGAAGCCACTCCTGCGTTGTCTTGGCTGTGTGCTTAGGGTCGTTGTCCTGTTGGAAGGTGAATCTTTGTCCCAGTCTGAGGTCCTGAGTGCTCTGGAGCAGGTTTTCATCAAGGATCTCTCCGTACTTTGCTCCGTTCATCTTTCCCTCCATCCTGACTAGTCTCCCAGTCCCTGCCGCTGAAAAACATCCCTACAGCATGATGATGCCACCACCATGCTTCACCATAGGGATGGTGCCAGGTTTCCTCCAGACGTGACGCTTGGAATTCAGGCCAAAGAGTTCAATCTTGGTTTCATCAGACCGGATAATCTTGTTTCTCATGGTCTGAGAGTCCTTTAGGGGCTATCATGTGCCTTTTACTGAGGAGTGGCTTTCGTCTGGCCACTGGAAGGTTCTCCCATCTCCACAGAGGAACTCTGGAGCTCTGTCAGAGTGACCATCGGGTTCTTGGTCACCTCCCTGACCAAGGCCCTTCTCCCCCGATTTCTCAGTTTGGCCAGGCGGTCTGCTCTAGGAAGAGTCTTGGTGGTTCCAAACTTCTTCCATTTAAGAATGATGGAAACCACTGTGGTCTTCGGGACCTTCAATGCTGCAGAAATCTTTTGGTACCCTTCACACAATCCTGTCTCGGAGCTCTACAGACAATTCCTTCGACCTCATGGCTTGGTTTTTGCTCTGACATGCACTGTCAACAGTGAGACCTTATATAGACAGGTGTGTGCCTTTCCAAATCATGTCCAATCAATTTAATTTACTACAGGTTGACTCCAATCAAGTTGTAAAACATCTCAAGAATGATCAATGGAAACAGGATGCACCTGAGCTCAATTTCGAGTCTCACAGCAAAGGGTCTGAATACTTATGTAAATAAGGTATTTCTGGGTTTTTTTGTAATTCAAAATTCAAAAGGCACTCGCACATCTGAGCTATCTTTTTTGCAGGTGCATGGTACCCAAGGATTTATGAAAACTTGCTTGATGGGTCGATGTCCTCATTGTTGTTTTACAGACGTGTTTAATACGTTTTATGTACACACTTTATTAGAATATTTATGAAATGCGCATTGTTATATTTGGTAACACTTACTTATTTTACCTCGACTCCAACCCCATTCGATGCATTGAACGGATGTGGGTGGAGCTATGTCTACATAAGGGTGCTAATTTTTAAAAACTCACAAACGCTCTGACGAAGGCCTTGAGGCCGATACGTAAAGCTTATTAAAGAGCAGTGATACAGCTTATGAAAAATGAAAAATGTATGCACTGACTAACTGTAAGTCGCTCTAGATAAGAGCGTCTGCTAAATGACTAAAATGTAAAATGTTATTAAAGAGCAGTGATACAGCTTATTACAGAGCAGTGATACAGCTTATTAAAGAGCAGTGATACTATCAAGAGCAGTGTGCGGGTTTCTTCTTTTTTATTTTTTTGTGCAAACATTTCTAAAAACCTGTTTTCACTTTGTCATTATGGGGTATTGTGTGTAGATTGCTGAGATTTTTATTTTATTTAATCAATTTTAGAATAAGGCTGTAATGTAACAAAATCTGAATACTTTCCGAATGCACTGTACATTTTGGTTGTAGACCCAGACAAAATCACGATTCAACTCATGGAGGACTTGATGATTAGTTGACAAGTGTGCTTGTCCTGGGCTACAAATTGGGAAACACTGGCCTAGGTGATATCAGGCTGAAATAGTGAGAGAGTAATATTTCTGAGAATAAATAAGTCTTCACCTCATACACAGGGTAATCTCAGATAGGAATAAGAATATAATCATATGTTTCTACAACTTCAGCCACCCCTGTATTTATCTGCACCACCACTCAATCCCTCTCTCTATTACACTACACTAATCCTCCCATTCGGTCAGTTATTGGACAAGCCCTCTCTCTCTCTCTCCTGGCCTTGTGCTGTCCCCCTACGTCCTCCCTCATGCTCCCCCACGTTCCCTCACATGCCCTCTCTCTATATCTCAATGAACTGGCATCTCCATGTCCTCCTTTTCTTTCTCTCCTTTTATCAGTCTGTTTTTCAATGCTGGGTAAAGTCATCCTTCCATCACTTCCACCTTCTCAGTGACCAATTATGATAAACATCCCAAACTGCCACACACACACAAACTCACGACACACAGACACACAGACACAGACACACACACACACACACACACACAAATGGGCGCTGATGTCCATGATGTCCGTAGTGCGTTTGGCACATGCTTCCTAATATCCTAATGTTACCAATGACAGGCAGCCCACAGACAGTAGGTCTATTCACCAGTACCTAATCTATGTTAAAGGGATGGCAGAGCTCTTGATGGACCTAGTGAAGCAGCCTATTCATGGCAGCTCAGCCCGGTGACGTCTCTGCTGACCGTGGAGGGGAGGTAAAGGTAGAGCAGTGATGAGAGCTCTAAAGAGTTTCATATTCATTGACCCTCCTGAGTCATGGAGAGTTTCAGTGTAAACTGTGGAGTTCCGGTAAGAGTTAGGAGGAAGGAGTGAGTGAGTAGACATTTCTAGCCTGGCCTAGTCCCCCTATCACTTCCTAAAGCCTCCCTCTATTTCCTCATCTTCCTTCCTCTGAATTCTCCAGTCTCTCCAAGCCTGATCTAGACTAATCGAAAACACCCTATTCAGTCCTCCTCTACCGCCCTCTTCCCTTCCCTTGACAGCCTCCCAGCCTTCCCTGGTTTCTGTTCTATCCACAATTACCCACTTCTCCTCCCTCCACCTTTCTCTACCCCTAGCTCTGCTCCCTACCCCTACCCCTGTTCTACCCAGCATCCCTATAGGCCCTTTCTCTAACCCCCACACCCTAGTCTTCCCCGGACCTCTACTCTACCAACCCCCCTCCACCCACCCCTCCAACCCATCACCCCCAGCCCTGACCCTGTTTTCAGCTCTCCAGTGAATCTGTGGAGGCAGCAGGCTGTCCGGGGCTGACTGCTGCCTCGCTACTTGATCACTTCCAGATGCGGCCTGGAATAGCCCACACTATTGATCCCACTGGGCAATGGCTTTCTAAAGTTTGTTTCCCAGCTAACACATTTGGTTCCTTGGAAGTTGTGGGAATGTACGTTTTTTGGTTTCCCATTGGTTCTGGAGACGAAGACATACGTTTCCTGCCCGGTAAAAATAATGTTTTTTAAACGTTCTGAGAACCGAAGTGAACATTTTGCCTGTTCTGGGAAGGTACATTTTTAGTTGCATGGAGGTTCTGAGAATGTTTTACTATGGTTCCCTGAAAGTTTTCCTGGGAGGTTTTAATAACGTTCTGAAAATGGAAATTACAGGTAATTTATTTTATAACTTCCTTAAAACTTTCACTAATTGTTTCGATAAGACTTTTAATAACACTGCTTGCTTAGTTTGGGTTAACTGTTTTGAACTCCAAGCACAGATAGGGCACATGGAAATGAATTTGCTTAGGCATTAATCATGCAAACATGTCTTTTTTATTGTGTCACAGTCAACCTATGATCTTCTGTTCTCTATCCATGGAATTAGTCCACTGCACCACTAGGATGGAGCTAGCATGCCATGTTGTTGTTTTTTACTCATACAAAGCTGTTCATTTCAAAGGAAACAAGCACTTATTAAGTTCAGACGTGGCCAATTAGTGGGCGCGGCCAACACACCTGAACACACTTAACAAGATAGAGGATAGAGTTGATGCTGAGAACGGAATGTATATGTTTTTCAATAACATTCTTAGATTGTTCTTTAGATGTTACTAATTTTTTCTTGTGATTTTTATGGAATGTTTTCTTAATGTTCTGAGAACATGAATTTAAATAGTACCATGGGGAAACCTGCAGAAAACATTATGCTGAAGTACTGACATTCCCACAGAAGAACGTTGTTTCCTAACATTCTATGAACTATTTGAGAACATTCTCAATGTCAAACCAGTTGTAGAACGTTCCTAGAACATTACCAAAAATTACAGTCAATGTAACCATTTTTGAACTTTTAGGAAACGTTCTGTTAAAGTAATGAAATACCAAGAAAATAAAGTTATTTTGTCAAGTTCCATAAATGTGCTGAGAATGTTCCAAAGCCAAGCAACTATCCCGCACCATTCCCAGAATGTTGTGGGAAGGTTGTATGCAAAATAACCATAGGACAACCACGCTCTCACCAAGCTCTAAGAAACATATAGTGATAGCTGGGTTAGTTTTAACCCACCAAGCATTTACAGATGGCAATGTCTTTTGGATGTCTTTTTTTGGCCCTGTCTGGATTCAACGTCCACAGACGTCAGGTCCGGACCGGCCTATATTTTCCCCAAACATAGACATCTATAATTGGTTCAGATTTGCTCCGGTCTGGACCGGCCTTGATTTGTCCCGGACCGGACCAAATCGGACCCAATCATAGACATCTATGTTTCACAAGTTTGGACAGCACAGTACAGCACAGTACAGTAGAGCACAACAGAGTACAGTACATTACAGTACAGTACACAGTACAGTAAAGAAAAGTTGAGTATAGTACAGTACAGTATAATACAGTAGAGCACAGTAAAGAAAAGTAGAGTATAGTGTACTGTATTGTACCGTACTTTACTTTAATTTACTCTACTGGACTAAACTGTACTGTACTCTACTCTACTGAATTAAACTCTACTGTACTCTACTGAATGAAACTACTGTCCTGTACCATACCGTACTGTAGTCTACTGTGCTCCACTGTACTAAACGGTGCAGTACTGTACTGTGATGTTTAAACATGTGAAACATAGCCTAGTCTATGATTCGTTCAGATTTGGATCTGGTCCACACCAACCAAAATGTGTACTTGTTTGGGTGCGGAGCTCATTAGGATAATACCCAGCATGCTTTGTAAGAGTTTGTTTTTACATTTAGATTTTGGTCATTCAGTAGACGCTCTTATCCTGAGCAACTTACAGTACAGTCAGTGCATTCAACTAAGGTAGATAAACAACCACATATCGCAGCTCATTTGGTAGAGCATGGCGCTTGCAACGCCAGGGTTGTGGGTTCGTTTCCCACGGGGGGCCAGTATGAAAAATGTATGCACTCACTAACTGTAAGTCGCTCTGGATAAGAGCGTCTGCTAAATGAATAAAATTTAAATGTAAATATCACAGTCATAGCAAGAAAATAAATATGTAACCGTTACAGAGAATATTATTGTAGTTGAAGTGGTCTGTTGGTTTATTCTGTGGGCTTGACTACTTTGAACATCATCGCTGCCAGTTTTAAAGCTTTTGAAAAAGCTAACTTAAGTGCATGGGACAAATGGGAGCAATAATAAATATTATGTTGCAATCTTGAGTTGGCTCCTCTTGCCTATATTAAGAGGCTTGAAAAATTATTGTGATATAATGTTTACTTCATTGAGAATGTATTTGCAATTTGGCCATAGAATATAAGTATTTTCAACGTCTGTAAATTACATATTGTCAACGCCAGGAAAATACGCATTTTCGACCTCCAGAGAAGACGTATTTTCACCTTTCTTTCAGCACCTAAAATTCACCTGATTTCAATATCCGGAAAATATGTATTTTTGACATCTGGAAAATACGTATTTTTGACGTCCAGAAAGGATGTCTTTTCACCTTTCATTCAGCACCTAAAATGTCATTTTGCTTACTGGGAAGGTGGTCATGAGTTTTCTCCTGTTTAGAGACAGAGGGAGAGAGTGTGTATGTGTGTATTTGTGTGTGTTTGTGTGCATGTATGCAATGATTGATAAGGCAAATTTGTTCTTGGAAGTTAAGGTTTGGGTGAAGTTGAGCCAAATACGCTGAATATACTGTACAGCATTCCCAGTGTGTATTTGTGGGGGAAATTGTTATGTTTGATAAACATTAGCATTCTCCTCTGGTTTGGTTGATAGCATTGCTTATGTGCTCTGTTTGATGTTCATGCTCTAATTTCTTATTTTTTTGTTGCATTAATCAATATGTGGTTGCCCAGCAACAGTGATATCTCAGGTTACATGAGGTGAGACTTGTTGTTTTCTGACTTTACATCTATTTATGGTTCATTCTCCTTCGCTTCCTCTGTGGGTCAGGATTCTCTTTCCATCTCTCCCTCCCTCTTTCTTTCTCTCTCTCTCTCCCCCCTCTCCCTCTCTATCTCTCTCCCCCTGAATATTGATGGGGGTTTCAAAGGGAGTTGTTTCAGCCTCAGTGCCAGTGTTTGACTAACAGGGACATGAGTGCTCTGACAGCTGTAGTCTCTCTCTCTCTTTCTGTTCTCTTAACCAACACAGAATCAGCCTTTGAGTACAGAGCTCTAACAAAGGACCACAGTGTCCACTGTCTGCTCAATGTGTGTGCGTGTGTGTGTGTACTCCTTACCAGAATGTATGTGTCCCTGTCCTGCAGCAGGTCAGATAGGTAGCTGTGGCAGAGGGGGTGTGCTGGAGAGTACGCTGCTGGACTCACCAGGCCATCGTTCCAACCCTGCACATCACACAACATACACAATATAGCACACACACACAGTTCACCTATTCCGGTTACTTCGGCATGCATATTGTCATTGGTAGAGCCAGGAGTTTATCCTGAACAAGTGATGTGACTAAAACCATAAACTGCAGTATTATAGAAACCCCTGTGTGGATTCCCAGGCTATAGTAGAGAGTGAAGCCTCACCAGGTCTCCATCAGTGCAGGGGAGGATGGTGTAGTTCTCCCCCTGCTCCAGAGGCCTTCCTAGGGCCTGGCCGAGAGGTAGATGGGGAGAGGGTTGCTTCCCATCCAGCCTGTGGACCTGCCTGACCCCCTTCCCTCCCCCTCTTCCCACACTCAACTTGCGGACGGGCATGGTGAGCCATTTCTTCAGGGCGCTGACAGAGTGCCGCGATCCCCCAGGGGAGGAGGGAGAGCACGGTCTGGTGCTGCCCGAGGCCTGGTGGGCTATGGAGCCTACGGAGGGGGTAATGCTGCCCTCACTGCCTGCCACAGAGTACGACTCTACAGAAGAGAGAGAGAGAGAGAGAGAGAGAGCGAGAGAGAGAGAGAGAGAGAGAGAGAGAGAGAGAGAGAGAGAGAGAGAGAGAGAGAGAGAGAGAGAGAGATGTTTTAGTTATTCAGTTATTGAGGTTATTGAATCCGACAAAAATGATGGATGACTCCCACTTGGACTTGATTTAATTGCAGTTTTCCTTTTGGTTATTTCCTTAGAATACATTGGAATTGTAGATGAATGTATTAACATAACTATTTTCCCCTGTAATACTAACTTCAGCAACCATGCCCTTTAACAAATGCTTTCTAACCCACACAGAGCTCTCAGGTGGATATTGCCTTTCCACCTCACAAAAAGTATTTCAACCAATTCAGCACAGGGAGTCACATGCTGGGCCAAAATGAACCACATTCTGTGACTGTGTGGAAGTGACTCCACAGAACAAGGAAACAAACCAAAAGAACAAGATACTTCAGAGACTGATTTGGACACTGTTTATCTACAGCAGCGCTATCTGTTTGTTTGCTGTGTGCTTCCTACAGCACATAGGAAGGCTGTTGATGAAGAGAATGTTACTGCTTTGAGGCGGGCATAGATAATAGACAACGAGAGGGGTGGACCTTGGGCCGTGGGGAGTAGGAGGCGTTCTAAATTAAGCTATGGAGAGAACTGTTGATTAGACGTCCAAAAATAGTTCACACATGACAGCCATCGAGTCAGCCTGCCGATGTGATGTCATCACTTAGAGTGAAAAGGAATGGCCGCAATTCTGGTATGCTCTGTTGGTGATTTAATCAGACACAAAAAAAATACAACGTTTAAATCCGAGTTGGATCTTCGTTAGGTCATCATGATCCAACGTTGTCTTTTTTGTACATCTGATTACATCACCATAGGAGCATACCAGAGTTTCAGACATTCTTTTTTTTTTTGATACGTTCTTCTGTCCTGCACCCGATAAGTTGGATGTGCATATTTTTCCCAAATAAATTATCACTGAGAGAGAGACAGGAAGAGGAGGAACAGGAGATTTACCGGGATTTATTGCCCAAAACCACTACCTTTTCCTGGGATAAATAACTGCGAGAAACCAGTAAATTATAATTAATTATTCATATGAACAGCATGGCGTGAAATGGAACTGTTTAATTATATGCGATGTCTAAATCTGGCTTCTTTACGGCCTCTGCATGATGAATCATCAACGCTCAGGGTGGGGACAGACAGCCCATCTCAGTATGGAGCGCAGTTCACAATGCATGTAGACCTATCATCTCATCATGGTAACCATTGTTCTTGTGACCGGTAGGCCTACATTTGCGGCAGCATAGTCTATGCTACAGTAATATAAAGACCGAATGCACGTCTAATTTACCCATCTCCATCTGGCTTTCGGGGATCACCTTATTTTTTTATTGTAAAGATTGTTTTTGCAGCTGCAGAGTTTTAAAATAGCCTATCACTCGAATATCATTGCTTTAAATCAGTGCACGCTCGAGCACTCTCTTGCAGTTTTTCTCTCTCTCCATCAACTCCATTCAAATTGCATCCAAATAGATAATCCTGTTCTAGATTGATATATAGCCCTATATATAGATGTTCTAGCCTACCTCATTCAGATAATAAATTAAATTCAGTATTAGCCTTATATTTAGGTAATTAATGATGGGTTATGCATAGTAAGCTTCTAACTTATAGCCTCTGTCTCTTGCGCAATACGCACACTCCTTTGTTCCGCTGGCCTCTCTCCTTAAAAAATGCTCCTTAGCTCTTGGAGTCCCATGCAGGAAAAGCTCAACTAGCTCGCTGGACTTTTTTTTGCATTTCTTATACCAATAGACTATTCGAAGAGGTACGCGAGCTCTTGTTTGCTGAATGTTAAATACAGCAGCCAATAGAACTCACAGGTCGTTTGAAAGAAGAGTGAATGCGCGATGGTGGTAGTCTATAGCAGTTATTTATTCAGACCCATAACCATTCAATCTTATTGAAGAGAAGTAAAAGCCTTCTGTATCTAATTCTAGTTCTACATTATTCAAGGAAGTCATTAGAATGAAGATAAGGACAATGAAACTTATTTCATTTAACTGTTGAAAGCGAGGAAGGAATGAAACAACAATAGAGAGAGAAAGCGGAGGTAAGTTAATAACATTAGGGGAAATATTTAGAAAGGTATATATGTGTCAGCCTACTAATTATACAAATAGACCTTATTATATTTCAAAATTAAAATCAAATTCGCTAGCCTATACTTGTAACTTTGTAGGACGCATGTGCTGCACCCGAATCACGTTCTCTCCCTGCTTTATCATGGTTTGAACGATGTGTGTAATTCCAGTCCATATAATACAGTATAATACAATACAGTACAGTAGTACACTCAAAAAGATTAGCCTTCTGCAGCTAGTTTCATGTATTTCCCCAAGAGAGCATATAGCTAGCTACATCTATGGGCTTCTATGTTTTTCTGTCGTGCATAATGTGCAGTAGCCATATATGTATTGGATAACGGCACAATCATTTGGCCTTTTTGGGGCTCGGGCTCATTAAATGTTTTTAATGTAGGTCTCATAAAATGAATTTAATGTTTATCTCCTCAGGCTCAGGTAGCATTAGGTTAGAATTTTCGACAAAACCTCTAATCAAATCCAGACATAGGCCTATTGATATGCTTTATAATGCTTTTGAATGACACTTGTGGTTTTGGCGGGAAATACTGGGTTACCCGGGAGAAAAGTGATTTATTCTCAGGATGGAACGTTTGTAAAATACTGGGAAAATATTCAAGCCTAGTGTGGAATGAGTCCACAGGGAGAAAGCGGTAAACATACTGGAGGTGGTTTATGTTAAGACATACTGTATATGTCCTCAAAGAGAGTGTGGTTATGGGTTTTAAATGCATACCATGCTGCAATGAGCCCACCTCGTCCTCTCTCTCAGTGGGGTAAGGAGTTGGTGTTTACTAAATGGTATATACTGGCTGACCCCACTGTATATTTGGATTCCAGTGAGACATTGCAATGACAGTGAAAACGAGGAAAGGAAGGGGTATGAAGGGGGGAAAAAGAGAGAAAGAGGGAGAGGAATTCAGAGGCAGGAGATGGAGCGATGAACACACAGTAAAATTGTTTGAGAGGAGAGAAGAAGACAAGATGGAAGAGTCTGGTTCTCTTGGAAGACGAATGAGGCCTTGAGAAAACACACAGTCAGCAAGAGCAGTCTGAGTCTGTCTGTTCTGTAGTGATGGAAAAGAAGCTGATGTACTGTAAATCACGACAGCCAAAGCCAGCCATAATCATACACTAGGTCCTACCCATAATATCCTGTCCTCCTAGCCTAGCATTAGTGGGCTAATACAAGTATTGTCACACTCACACCACATAATTAATTCCGCTCACTAAGCCTCTAGACTATGGAAAAGAGTATGATCTCACACACACTGCTCTGATTAGGCAGTCCCAACAATAATGTTTGATTCTGTTCTGCTGATCTTAGCGAAGGCTTAAGCTCTTTGTGGCTCTTTGCTGTCACTTTGGCTACCTCCCAGAATCTAACTATGTCCTGTCAGCACATTGATGTAAGCTGTAATCATAATAACAGGGCCTTAGGGGCCCAGAGAAAAGCTGAGACACAGAGCTCTACACTAAACGTCTGACGCAGCCATTTTTTAGAAGACCACACTGGCGGTAACACCATTAATAACGTGGCAATTTCTTTGGCCCTGTTCACTTTAGTGGAAAATGGCCGTACTGTTCTGCTAAATTTGGGTTTTGAGTTTAGCTATCTACATAAATGTATGTCCATGAAAATTGGTTGCACCTACGTCAACTTTCCCCCTCTTTATATTAAACAGTTGCTGCTATACACGTCATACTTATACAGGTCAGGTAAAATGGACCGAAGAACAATCCGTTAAATAACGACACATTTCCCAGGAAAGTGCAGCCATTCATTTTAAACCCAGAACTCAGATGGGCCATTGTAATTAAAGTAATTTATCATCTAGCACTTTGCTGCCGTGCTGCTGTGAACAACACAAACTCATTTCTATAATGGGCTGATAGATGGGAGGGGAGAGGAGGGAGGATTAAAGATGGGAGGAGGGGGAAATTACATTAATTCAGTTTGATCTGTCCTAGCCCCACACTGAACCTTTGAGTCGCCAAATAGTATTATACCTGACTCCATGACACACTGTATGTTGAGCGCACGCACGCACGCACACACACACACTTACACACACACACACACCACCCTGAGCAAGGGGCACGTCTCCCCAGCACTCTGAACAAACAGCCATCTGGCCTCCTAAGGTCATAATGGAATTTAGATATGATGCTGTTTATTCCCCTTCCCATTTGGTCACGAGTCCACTAAGAACAGGAACATCTTTACAGTAACGTTAGGAACCTGTAGCTACAGTACGCTAGGTAAACTTTGGTAAGTGTCTCATTTGAGAAGCGGCTTTCTCAGAAGCGGTGGCTTTTAGCGGTGCTTAGAGCTGGTGGTGACGTGCGAAGCCTGGGTGAAGCGAGAAACTGGGATCATGGTGTTTGTTTGAGATGCTTACTTTACGTAATCAGCCATTTTCCTTTCAGTAGAGAGGGTGTTTGTGTGTGTGTGAAGGGGTGTGTGTGTGTTTTGAATGGCGGGATGTTTTAGTACCCTACTCCAGGTGAAGACAGAGGGTTCTTAAATCCACCTTGACACACCTATCCAATACGTTCATCTATACATTCATATGAAGAATGCCACTGCCAACTCCAGCGCAATTCATCAAAAGATTGCTCTTTAATATTATATAAACTCAGCAAAAAAAGAAACGTCCCTTTTTCAGGACCCTGTCTTTCAAAGATAATTAGTAAAAATCCAAATAACTTCACAGATCTTCATTGTAAAGGGTTTAAACACTGTTTCCCATGCTTGTTCAATGAACCATGAACAATTAATGAACATGCACCTGTGGAACGGTCGTTAAGACACTAACAGCTTACAGACGGTAGGGTAATTAAGGTCACAGTTATGAAAACTTAGGACACTAAAGAGACCTTTCTACTGACTCTGAAAAACACCAAAAGAAAGATGCTCATCTGCATGAACGTGCCTTAGGCATGCTGCAAGGAGGCATGAGGACTGCAGATGTGGCCAGGGCAATAAATTGCAATGTCCGTACTGTGAGACGCCTAAAACAGCGCTACAGGGAGATAGGACAAACAGCTGATCGTCCTCGCAGTGGCATACCATGTGTAACAACACCTGCACAGGATCGGTACATCCGGACATCACACCTGCGGGACAGGTACAGGATGGCAACAACAACTTCCCGAGTTACACCAGGAACGCACAATCCCTCCATCAGTGCTCAGACTGTCCGCAATAGGCTGAGAGAGGCTGGACGGAGGGCTTGTAGGCCTGTTGTAAGGCAGGTCCTCACCAGACATCACCGGCAACAACGTTGCCTATGGGCACAAACCCACCGTCGCTGGACCAGACAGGACTGGCAAAAAGTGCTCTTCACTGACGAGTGGCGGTTTTGTCTCAACAGGGGTGATGGTCAGATTTGCGTTTATTGTCGAAGGAATGAGTGTTACACCGAGGCCTGTACTCTGGAGCGGGATCGATTTGGAGGTGGAGGGTCTGTCATGGTCTGGGGCGGTGTGTCACAGCATCATCAGACTGAGCTTGTTGTCATTGCATGCAATCTCAATGCTATGCGTTACAGGGAAGACATCCTCCTCCCTCATGTGGTACCCTTCCTGCAGGCTCATCCTGACATGACCCTCCAGCATGACAATGCCACCAGCCATACTACTCGTTCTGTGTGTGATTTCCTGCAAGACAGGAATGTCAGTGTTCTGCCATGGCCAGCGAAGATCTCAATCCCATTGAGCACGTCTTAGGACCTGTTCGATCGGAGGGTGAGGGCTAGGGCCATTCCCCCCAGAAATGTCTGGGAACTTGCAGGTGCCTTGGTGGAAGAGTGGGGTAACATCTCACAGCAAGAAATTGTACATCTGGTGCAGTCCATGAGGAGGAGATGCACTGCAGTACTTAATGCAGCTGGTGGCCACACAGATACTGACTGTTACTTTTGATTTTGACCCCCCCTTTGTTCAGGGATACATTATTCAGCCATCTGGCCTCCTCGGGTCATAATGGCATTTCAATACAATGCTGTATCTTGCTATTCCCATCTGGTCACATGAGTCCACTAAGAACAAGAACATCTTTACAGTAACGTTAGGTATGTAGGTATAGTTTCAAGTTGTAATGTTCGTGCACAAGTACAGTGAAATGCCTTTCTTGCTATCTCCAACCCAAACAATGCAGTAATCAATATCAATGTAGTACTAAAAATAACATAAAGTACGACAAAAACACACAAAAAAATAAAAATAAGAAATAAGAAGAACACGAGAAAGTAAGAAGCTATGTACAGGGTCAGTTCCAATACCATATTTACAATGTGCAGGGATACTGGAGTGATAGAGGTAGATATGTACAGGGGTAAGTTGACTAGGCATCAGGATATAGACTACCAGTCAAAAGTTTGGACACACCTACTCATTCAAGGGTTTTTCTTTATATTTACTATTTTTTACATTGTGAAATAATAGTGAAGAAATCAAAACTATGAAATAACACATATGGAATCATGTAGTAACCAAAAAAGTGTTAAACAAATCAAAATTTATTTTATATTTTATAATCTTCAAATAGCCACCCTTTGCCTTGACGACAGCTTTGCACACTCTTGGCATTCTTTCAACCAGCTTCATGAGGTAGTCACATGGAATGCATTTCAATTAACAGGTGTGCCTTCTTAAAAGTTAATTTGTGGAATTTCTTTCCTTCTTAATGCGTTTGAGCCAATCAGTTGTGTTGTGACAGCTCAAATAAGCAAAGAGAAACGACAGTCCATCATTACTTTAAGAGATGAAGATCAATCAACACGGAACATTTCAATAACTTTTAAAGTTTCTTCAAGAGCAGTCGCAAAAACCATCAAGCGCTATGATGAAACTGGCTCTCATGAGGACCACCACAGGAATGGAAGACCCAGAGTTACCTCTGCTGCAGAGGATAAGTTCCTTAGAGTTACCAGCCTCAGAAATTGCTGCCCAAATAAATGTTTCACAGAGTTCAAGTCACAGACACATCTCAACATCAACTGTTCAGAGGGGACTGTGTGAATCAGGCCTTCATGGTCGAATTGCTGCAAAGAAACCACTACTAAAGGACACCAATAAGAAGAAGAGACCTGCTTGGGCCAAATGGGAAATGTGTCCTTTGGTCTGGGGTCCAAATTGAAGATTTTTGGTTCCAACCGCCATGTCTTTGTGAGACGCTGTGTGGGTGAACGGATGATCTCTGCATGTGTAGTTCCCACCGTAAAGCATGGAGGAGGAGGTGTTATGGTGTTGGGGTGCTTTGCTGGTGACACTGTGTGATTTATTTAGAATTCAAGGCACACTTAACCAGCATGGCTACCACAGAATTCTGCAGTGATATGCCATCCCATCTGGTTTGGGCTTAGTGGGACTGTAATTTGTTTTTCAACAGGACAATGACCCAACACACCTCCATGCTATGTAAGGGCTATTTTACGAAGAAGGAGAGCGATGGGGTGCTGCATCAGATGACCTGGCCCCCACAATCCCCCGACCTCTACCCAATTGAGATGGTTTGGGATGAGTCGGATGGCAGAGTGAAGGAAAAGCAGCCAACAAGTGCTCAGCATATGTGGGAACTCCTTCAAGACTGTTGGAAAAGCATTCGAGGTGAAGGTAGTCATCTTAAGACGTGAGGATTACAGACTGGGACAAAGAGAGGTTATAAATTACTGTGAATATGCCTGCCAGCTGATCTGCGCATGCTCTGAGAACGCTCCCTGGAATACCTTCCGGCCCTGCCGCCTTGCGAATGTTGACTTGATTAAAGACCTTACTCACGTCGGCCTCGGAGAGCGAGATCACCCAGTCCTCTGGGTCGGTGGGGGACCTCAAGCACGGTACGATGTTGTTATTGTCGAAGCGTGTATAAAATGCATTGAGTTCATCTGGAAGAGAAACATCATTGGGCAGATCATGGCTGTGTCTTCCTTTGTAATCCGTAATATACTGCAGCCCTTGCCACATGCTGCGGGCATCGGAGCCTGTGTAGTATGATTCTACCTTATTCCTATATTGTCCTTCTGCTCATTTGATGACTCTGCTGAGAACTTCTTGTACTTGTTCCTGTCCTCTGCCGTAGCTTCAGGGTTGTCTGTGATAGCCTTGTGTGCGGTAGCCCTCTCCTTTAGTTTAGCGCCAACCACTGTGTTAATCCAGGGGTTTTGATTGGGGAAGCAGAGAACCTTCACTGTGGGGACATTATCGGCGATGCATTTCCTTATGAAGCCGGTGACGGAGGTGGTTAGCTCATCAATATTATCGGCGGAGTCTTGGAACATATTCCAATCTTCGCTAGTAAAGCAGTCCTGTAGCATAATCTCTGATTATGATGACCATTTCTCAACGGAGCGAGTCACGGGTACTTCCTGTTTGAGCTTCTGCTTGTAAACAGGAAGCAGGAGTACGGAGTCATGATTTGCCTAATGGCGGATGAGGGAGGGTCTTGTGTGCTTGCTTGTGGGTAGAGCAACAGTGGTCTAGGACTTTATTGCCCATAGTGGCGAAGGAGACATGTTGATGGAAGTTGTCTTAATGATGCAGAATTAAAATTGCTGGCGACAAGAAAGGCAGCCTCCAGATGTAAGTTTTCCTGCTTGTTTATAGCCTTGTACAGTTCGTTAAGTACCAGCTTGTTATGTATCTTGTCCTGAGGTGGAATGTATACAACAGTCACGATAACAGCTGAAAACTCCCTCGGGAGGTAGAAGGTTTCGGCACTTCACCATCAGATATGCCAAGACGGGTGAACAATGGGTCGAGACTACCACTGCGCTCGAGTCAGCACACCATTTGTTGTTGATGAAGAGGCAAACCCCTCCCCCTCTCGAATTCCCTTACTCTACTGTCCTGTCCACTTGGTGAATAGAGAATCCATTGAGTTGGATAGCCATGGGGAGTATCTTGTCCAAAAGCCATGTTTCAGAAAAGCAGAGAATATTGCAGTTACGAGAGTCCCGTTGGTAGCTGTCACGAGAATTTTGTTATCTCAATGGTTGAACTCAACTATCACTCAAGCTTTGAATAATTCCCAGAGGGTGTAAGGCTCTGGTTTAATATTGAATTAAACAAAGTCCCATTCTGCAATAGGTCAGTCTTTTTATTCATGAGAGCTCTGGCGCTAAAAACACACACAGGCTTTTTATATGCGTCCACACAAAGGACTTTGCTCCGCCCACCTTGAGGCGGCCTGTGACTTTCCACAGTATAGAATGTTTAAGTTTGACAGTTTCTAGGTCTCCTTTCCCCTGGAATGTTTGTCTCCAGCAGTTTATAACCCTCTTCTCTTTTAGTGGGTTTATTGTCTTATAACTCTAACACAGTTTACATAGTTAAACAGTATCGGGGTCGAACACTTTTAGTCATTACTCTAAACATACAAATCTTCTATCAGTAGCAAATCGCCGTTCAAAGGTCATCCATCTGATTATCAAGTGACTCTACATTGGCCAATAGAATGGAGGGAAGAGGTAGACGGTTTTCCCTTTGCCTTAATTTCGCCAGTACTCCCCCTCTCCTGCCTCTGTAACGCCAGTGTTTCCTTTTGCATAGCCCGAAAATTGGGTCGGAATTACAGAAATAGCCCAGGGCAGATGAGTCGAAGTCGAAGTTGAAGCCGGAATTGGGGTAAGTAACTGCCGATCTGATGTTAAAAAGTTATTGTGGGTTATAAGAAATGATAGCGGATTTAATTTTGTGAAAATAAAGTAAAGATAAACGCCAAAGGAATCACAAAATAGCAAAGGGGTCGGAGCTCAAAAAACTGCGGCCATCCAGTACGGCACCATCTTGTTAAGATTACAGTATTACAGTACGCTAGGTACACTCTGGTAAGTGTCTCATTTGAGAAGCCTCTTTCTGAGAAGTGGTGGCTTTTAGATGTGCTTAGAGATGGTGGTGACGTGCGAAGCCTGGGTGAAGCGAGTGACCGGGATCATGGTGTTTGTTTGAAATACTTACATTATGTAATCAGCCTTTTTCACACAGAGCAACAGCTGGGATGCCATCCGGATCACAATCGGAATGTCAGGAAAATGATGAGTGTTTCCTGTCAGTGGAGAGTGTGTGTGTGTGTGTGTGTCAGGATGTTTTAGTACCATACTCCAGGTATAGACAGAGGAGTCTTAAATCCACCTTGACACACCTATCCAGTACGTTCATCTTACATACAGTACCAGTCAAAAGTTTGGACACACCTACTCATTCAAGGGTTTTTATTAATTTGTACTATTTTTTACATTGTAGAATAACAGTGAAGACATCAAAACTAT